CAGCCCCCACGGGAGCCCCCATCTTTCAACCCTCCCTTGACATCTCTTCTCTTGCCTTTCCAAGGGTTTGGAGGGGTGCAATGATCAGAATGGTCCTTGCACTCATTTTTAAGAGCTAGTTCCCACATGTCATGGCCCTGTGGCTTAAACCCCTTTATCTGCTACTGATAACCAGTAGGTTTCAGTGATTCCAGGCTTTTTCTTCCTACCCCTGAGGTGCTCAGGTGGACTCTGACCAATAGCTGGAGTTGTACAGAGACAGGATCAGACATCAGGAGAGGAAAACCATGCTGTATGGGCACACCACGTGGCCTCCAGTACCAGTATGGGCATCCAATGCTGAGCACCGTGTTTCATGCGCTCAGCTCCTGAGGAAAGCAGGCAGTGTGCTTGGTGCAAGCTCCATCGCCATGGGTGGGCTGGTAGCCCTCAATACAAGCAAAACCACAGTGGACATGCCCCTTAGTGGCACAGACCCCCTCCCCATTCGGCCATCACCACCAAATGCAACCAGGGTCCCCCAATCCAGAGAGAATCCCCCCGGGACAGGAGAGGGATAAGGACAAGTAGCTCATCCAGAATGACGCCGGCTTTAAGGGCACCCCCCGATGCACAGCACAACTGCGCCCAACACATCGTTTAATAGAGTTGTGGAAAGACTACAAGCTACGCGGCGGTCAGCTAGCCGAAGCCTTACAGTGCCACACGGCATTGGTATCGTGTTGCGGACATTGCACACGTGTTTTACAACCAGCTGCCAGCTGTTGGAGCACAGCTGGGAGAATGGCAGCAGGAAAAGCTCCCCTCTCCCGGGGGAGAGGATCACACCCACATCTCCAGGGGAAGCAGCACTTGAGCAGCAATGAAGCAATCCTGCCTTTCCCATCGCACCCCTCAGCCCCCGCTGCTGCGGCAGAGCGTGGGGGCAATGGCATTTTTTTTTTTTTCGCAGCCCTCAGGAAAAAGAGGATTTCAGAGGGATTTGAGCACAGGTCCCTAAATAGCTCCTTAGAATCAAGAGGTTTCACGGGGGATTATTTCGAGCAGCTGCCCGTGGTGGGAGGGAGAGTCTGGCAGGTGCTGGGAAGGTGAGGGGGCAGAGAAAAGGCAGGAGCACTGTAGGTGAGCACGGGGGGCGGGATCTGAACCGCAGCATGGGGGAGAGGGGAGCATCCCACTCCCCGGCCATGCACATAAACTCTCTGCCGGGTGAGCCAACGGGAATAAGGAGCAGAGTGGTGGTCAGCAGAAGTGACGCGCTGTGGGAACAGCACAAAAGCGGTTCTTGCAGAGGAATCACTGGCACTGAGCACGGCACGTGCCTTTCAGCTGGTATTCGAAGCCTGACGTCAAAAAGTCAACGCGCAGATATGGCTGCTTCGCTGGACCTGCACATAGTGGCATTTCTGAGGCTTGGGGTGAGCTCAAGGGGCCGTCCCCATCCCTGCCTTCTCACGGGAAACCTGTGTGCGAGGGAGGTGGGAAGGCTTTTCTAGCACTAAGGATGGGATGAGCTTGAAATGCTGGAAAAGGGGATCAGTCAATCAGACAGAGCTTGACTAAGGGCAAATTCCCCCCTGCAAGGCTACGAATGCCAGACTTTGCAGATCCAAACATTCATGGTGGAAATAAAATAGTGCAAAACCAGGAAAGGCCACAAAATCTTTCAGAACAGGCACAGCTCTGCAGAGACTGGTGGAATATGGGTTGAAATGCCTCTTCTAGTGATACCAAGAGATAACATTGCTTGGCACAGCACTTTCTGGTGCAAAGAGGAAGAGGAGGTAGCTGGAACTTCATTATAATTCTGATATTGGGATGGAAATTGGTTCTTAGGGACTGGATCCTGCAAAAAGTTGAGCTCCTCCATGGGGTCCTGAGCTCCATCTTTCAGCGGGCAGAAGGGTTGAGCGTGCGCACAGCGAGCGGCTGAGCCACAGGCATGCAGGAATAAGTAATAAGGCTGGAAGGAGAGCACATGAGAGAAGCAGGGAAGTGAGGCTGGTAATTAATAAGAGAGAGAGAGAGAAATGAGGAAAGAATAGAAAGGAGAAGAGAAAGGAGGGAGAGCTGTAATTTGACAGTAGTGGAAGCAAAAAAGCAGGAAGAAGCAAGCTGAGGTAGATAATTTCCACTGGACGGATGACAGTGGGGAAGAAGTGAGGCAAGAGAACGAAGAGGAGCAGGGCAGGAGGGAGAGCAAAGGAGAAGGTCACAGGCAGGAAACTGAGCAAATGGTTAAATCTCATCACATATTGTTATTATGAGCAGCCCATGTGCAGGGTAGCCCCTGCTGCTACACTTGGAGTGATGTTCTGCACGCAAGGCCACAAGTCAAAGATGTGCTGGGACTAAAATCCCAGCAAAAAGGAGTTGGAGATTTAGGGATTTCCTCAGCCACCAGGGAAGGGACTTTGTTTTCTGGACCCTTCCTTCTCCACTCCCCTGGAGGAACAACCTGGATAGTACAACCCTTTGAACAGCTCTCCCAGCAACTGAGCTCTTTGGCCAAGAGTTTCAAAAATGACCACTGACACTGATTTGCTCTACCTCAGACCTGAGCTGCCCCAATAAAATTGGAAAAATTGGGGTCTTCCATGGTTTTAAGGCCTTGCTCAAGAATTGAGTCCTTTGCCCATCACCCGCCTGCACAACTCTCAGTCTGCATTTAAGGGGAGGGAAGTTAATGTGACCTGGATGCACAGGCAAAAGCAGGTTTCTAGTAAAGGTCATTACTGCAAAGATCAGAGGTTAACATCTGTTTTCAACACAGATGTCCCTCTCAAAGGACACACATGTATATAAGGAGTGGTTTCCTTTATCCCCTGGTTTATAAAAATAGGTGAAAGTGGAATAGAAAATTTCAACTGTACTAGCGCTTGCAATTACAGGACAAGGAAAGATGACATGTCTGTGACTGGCTGAGATTAACTGTGATGAACTATGATTGAAGCTTTCAGTGTTTGGCTTTCGGCTTTACAAGATCAAGCCTGTAAACTCCGCGTTTCCTCATGTCTATTTAACAGCTGCAATTTTTTTGACGTAAACACCCTAATGATTAGATGCGGGACAGGGCGTGATCTCAGCTCGTGGTATTGGAGACTGCAAAACATACACTCAAGGCCTGGTAGCCACGACCGCTAAGAGCCAGGACACAGCACGTACCACGTGTACAAACACAAATTGGCTATACATCTAAAGCAACATTAATCGAGATGCATTGGCGAGCTGGCAGGGGACCCAACCCCAAAGGTGACCGACTTCAGCTTTAATCACCAGATGACTTCCTTCCTTTTTACGCTACAGATCCTCAGGCTGGGAGACCAGCAGAAGAGCAGCTTGGCCCCATGCACCGGCTGGTCCCAGAGATGGGCAGCACGAGGCCAACCTACTTCATGCCACAGCTCCACAGCGTACTTTTCCTTGGACACTCATTTATGAATTCATTGACTCTGAGCTGAGCCTGGGAGTGCGAGCCAGCGGGAAGGCAGGCCAGCAGATCTGGCGATGTTGTCAGGGTGCCAAGGGAGGGAAGAGACTAATTTGCACTGAGCCACGCCGTGTGTGCACACGTATGACGGGTGCTCATCAAATGCTCTGAGTGCATGGGTATCTCCACGTGGGGTCATTGGGAGGCTGTCACAAATGGGAGCATCACTGTCACACCTGCATATGGTGCTATGATGAGCCACCTCCTTTCTCAAGGCTTTATAAACCAGAAATATGCTGCTGCTTTAGGACTGCTCTGAAACACTTCCCAGCTTTCTCCGAGGTGTTATACACTCCTCCAGCATCATCTACAACAGCTTACGGCCCCCCATGCTGTGTGTGCTGGGAGTCGGGATGTGCCAGCACCAGCAGCTGGCTGTACAGACACTTCCCAAGGGAAATCAGCACTGGTTCACAGAGGTCGGTTTAAGCATGGTGGCTACGTCCTACCAGCTCCCCCAGGAGCTCCTAGCCTTCCGCTGGCTGGGATTTAGGTGTTGCTGCTTCCCGAAAAAGGTATAAGCTAAACCACCTGTGGGCACTATGCTGCATCTTACTGCTTCCCACCCGGGGACACAGCCACGAAGGGTATTTGGCAGGAACTGCCCTGTTCCACCTGGGGGGGAGATTTGCACCATGCTGGAAAGTCTCCCCGTCACACAGCAGACCTCTTGCCTTCGCACAAAGCTGATTGCAGCAGAGCGTGGTCAGTGTGGGAGACTGGGACAGCTCCCTACACTTACCCTCTTAAATGCATTTTAGGGTCAGGGAGTGGCTACTGCACACAGCTGCAGAGGGTAGGATGCTCCAGAAGAAAAAGGCTGCCTATTCTGCTCGGCTCTGGCTCACAGTGCCAGCCCTGATGGATGCGGTGATAATGGCTGGAGACTGTGCATGGCTGAAACACGGCACCTGTGAGCAGCACACACTGTCCTGATGCCCTTTTCCAGTTTTGGGGTGATGTCCTACAGCTGCCAGCATGGTGGACTCCTCACTGGAATCCCTTGTTCTGCCACATCCCCTCCAGTTATGCATTTGCTAGTGTTGGTTTATGCTAGATCAGTCGACAACGGTCTGGGATTGAACCTGGTGTCATCTGGCTCTCTGGGGTGACAGCACAGCTGTGTGCTATGGGACGCTCTGCGGAGATTCACGTGGAAAGGCAAGAAGAAGAACAGAGAAGTGGTCAGCGATCAGTCTAAGTTCTCTGGAAACATCACCTCTTGTCAAGAGGAGGAAGACCTGGGCACCGGCCACTCCTCCCTGAGAGCCTGGACCAGGATGTTGCAGGATGAAGACGGTCACCCCACAACACCCTGGTGGCAGCTCGTGCAGGGCCTTGGTAAGCTGGGCTGGGAGGAAGAGATGCGAGAGGGTTCCTCCGCCAGGTCCTCTCTTCCACAAGCGAAAGCCACCACGGAGCCGGGGACAGCGAGCTGTGCCGGAGGAGCTCGAGGGACAACGTGGCGCGAGCAGCTACAGGGCAGGGCGAGGAGGTCCAGGCTCTCCTCCTAGACGGTGGCATCCGAGACCCTCCCATTCAAGGATGTCTTCGGCTGGAGGCCATTGTTCTGCGCGTGCACCTCTGGCTTGGGCTGTGTCATCTGCTGCAAGCGCTGCCCGGGAATGAAGGGAGAGAGCATGTCAGCCAGGGGGCTGGGGGCAGCAGCGGTGGGGCAGGCAGGGCATGGCAGCAGCTGAGGATTGGGACCCCTCACCCCAAGCTTCAGAGGTGGCCCTAGTTACAGGGCGAGGGGACAGTGCATGCGGCAGGAGTTGCTCCTCCAGCACCATTCAGCCATCCACTGAAAGCCTCTGCAAATCACCTTTGCTTTGGTGCCGCACACAGCACAGCAGCTCCTCCTCTTATATGAAATACAGGGATCACCCTTATAACACAGGAAAACTGTTACCAGGCAATACCAGCTGCAAGTAGGACCAAGAGCTGCAATGTCACAGGCTTCAGAGCACACCTGTTTTCCCAGTTTCCATAATTTTTCAACTAGGGTTGATTATAAAGCATTACTAACTAGCTACAGCAGGCTGACAAGGTTATGGTTTGTGCCGCTGATGCAGATCAGACCAGTCCACCTGCACAAACCTTTGCACCAGCAGCAATTCCTGTCACCCTAAGCTGATCAAATGAAAATTGCAGAGCCGAGTAAAGTGAAGCAAGAACCCGGGAAAATATGGAGGGGCAAGTCATTACTGGAGGCGTGTGGACTGATCATCAGGAGTGATGAAGAAGAATGAATCACTTTTGCCTGTCAGGGAGGGACTAATGTTGTAAGTTGCAGAAGAAAAGGCAGAGGAAGATTGAGCCTGACCTGAATAGACATCACTAAGTCAGGAAGAAGCTCTTTCCAGCAAAGGGAAACAAGCTCCTACTCTCCGATACCACTGAAGTGGCTGTTGCTGGGTGAAGTCCCTGAAACGTTCACTGAGCTGCTTCTGCCATTCATGGTCTTTTTTTCACCCTCACATTCGTGCTCAGTAGGATCAAAATGACTTGTAATCTTTCCTGTCTGTCAAAACCACTTTATTCAGCATTGGCATCTAATTTTCCTCCAGCTCTATTACAAACTAATCCAGGATCTGTGCATATAAGAGGCAAAAAATTCTCTCTGTCTCTCTGATACCTACACACACAGAAGCCTACTTTCTTCCTGCTGCTATCTGCTGCTCACTCCTGGGTCTATGAACAGTGGGGAGGGGGTCTGGGTCTCCTGATATGTGTGGGTGCTGTTAGAGAGAGAGAGGGTGCACACCAGCCACTCACGCTGCTGACTGGCACTGCTGGTTTGCATGAGGTGCTGCGGGGATGGGTGGAAACATGCTCATGAGCTGCCCTCCGATGCCAGGACATGCTTTCACCATCCCTAGTGGAAACAGGATTGAGCCTAAGCAAAGGGTTGAACCCATACCTGTATTTGCAGTCTTCCCTTTTCCCTCTTTTACCAGCTCATATTATGAGGGGATAAGGAGCCCTCGAAACATCTGAGAAAGGACCTACTATTGGAATTGCCCCTGGCCTTCAACACAAAATGCCAAGAACCTAAACTCGACCTCAGATGAGAGACCAGAATCTGAAAGCAGATCTGAGACACCAAACCCACCCAGTTCCCCCACCAGAGCCCATCCAAATGGAGAGCTGGGAGGAAAGAAAGTCAAATTCACCTGCAACTTGACCTCAGAGGTAGAGAGCCTGAAGCTGACCTCAGTCTGGCAATTCCAGCCAAAACATTTGTGAATTAAACATTATTCAAAATACAGTATCCATGAAGTAAACTCATGGGATTTAGATGGCGTCTGGTGGCTGTTGCAGCAGGGCTGGGCAAGCCATAAATCAGCACCCCTGCGGTGACTTCTTACACCTGTAGCTTGCAGCAGACAGCATCGAGCCAGGGACTTTGTGCACAGTGCTCTCGACTGAATGTCAACACCGTAAATAAAATCTTAACGGTAATTACTAGGTATGACATACAGAGACTCATGATTCACTGCTACATAAAACTCTGCTCAAATTACTTAAAAAAAATGTTTTAAACAAGATCAGAGTTGTGGGTATTATGGGTCCTGCATAAAAGTCTGCATTGCTTCTTAACCCCTCATTCACTGAGTGCCCTTTATAAAGCACATGACAAACTACTGCTGTGCATTTTTGTCACTAGTGGGTCCTAGCCCTGAGATATTTCAGGCTTCATGCTTGGAGGATGCTGATCTCTGCTGAGACATGCCAGGTAACCATGCTCATAGCCAGGGACCGCTGGGAATTGGGATTTCTCTGGGTTAAGAAACCTCAAAGATTTCTTCCCTGTCTCTTCCAGGGCTCCAGTCCCCTGCACCAAAGAGATATTCAGGGAAAGAGGGCTCCCTTTTTGTGATGGTGACAACACAAAGCTCAATAAGGGACAATGGACTGACCTAGGGAGAGACTGCCTGAAGGTCTACCCACTTGGCCAGACGCAGCCAGCCACGTGCTGGCCGGCAGTACTCCCAGCCACTTAGACATGTTAGTGCTCAGTTGTGCTGGTAAGTCCTCTCCAGTGAGCCTGTGTCACCGGAGGCTGTTCTGTGTGCTGGGGCTGATTTGAGCCCTCCTGGAGAAGAGGGTGTGCAGAGCTCCTGCAGCACCAACCTGAAGTACTCTGACAACTTTGTCAGAGCAGAGTCTGCCTGGTTCTTCCTAGGCTTAGTTCAGTGGGGGGCTGTGGAGTGGTGAAGCTGTTCATACCTGCCGGAGAGTCCCTGTTGAGGTGAAGAAACTGTACAGCATGTATCCTGGAATCAGTACCATGGAGGACAGAGCCATAAGCCAACCAATGCCTTGTCCCCACGCGGGATAGACGTATTTTCCCAGCGTCAGAGGGGTCATTTCCACCACGCTGAAGAAGAACACGCCCTGGGAAAGGAGCACCAGCCATCACAGGTGAAGACATGCAAAATCAGTGTCCATCCATCCATTCTTTCCTTCACTATCCTCTTAGCTCCCAACAGTCTTACAGCAACCCAACAGCTCCTTAAACTAGTCTAGATGCTCTCAGCCCTCCAAGTGGTAATTTCATATTATTTCTTATTATTGCATGTAAAAAGCTGGAACTGGAATACCCCTGATTTCCTTCTTCACTAGACTACTCAGACAAGCAGTGCCCCTACATCAGCTCCTAAGCAAGTTAACAACATCCTCACAGCTGGCCTCAGGAGCCTTCATCTTTCTGTCATTGGCCTTCTCTCATCATTCCCTGTACTACTCCTGCTGGAAGCGCAGGAACCAGCGAAGGCAAAATTGCTCCACAGTCAGTTATACTGCATTTGCTGATGGCTTTTGCTCTGACAAGCCTATCAGGGGCTGAGGCTGGAGCTGGAGTAGCTGAGAGCCTTCCCCAGAACCAATAATAGCTTTTTAAAAAGTACATTATTTGCTTAGCTCTTGGCATCTCAGAAAGAAGAATGAAGAACTGATGGCCTTGTTTAGATTAAAACAATCATCTAGAGCTTTTGTTACGGGTGATTTCCAGCGGGCAGAGTGAAAGATGCTTCTGTATTACTTTACCCATCTCAAGTCTGCCTAGGACCACCTTACACCAGACCTATATTGGGTCGAGAACATAATGTTTCCCCTACAGCCCATCCAAACTAAGAGGCCCTTCTGGATCCACTCCTGCAGATAGGATGCCCCAGGTCTTACCAGGCAGACAAGAGGAGTGAAGAGGACCCAGCAGATCTTCCACCAGATGCAAGGTTTGTAGCCAATCATTTCTTCGATGTTCCTGTAAAACCTGTTCACGCCTACAAGAAGAAATGAGCGTTGCAAAAAACATTCCATCTCAGCACCATGGTCATCAGCTCTTCTCATGACACAGCACAGGACAGCCACAGCAAGAGGGTGACAATGCTGTGGCATGAGAAGCATTATTTGGATGGGATGGGGTACAGGGACACAAAAGCAAATTCCTGCTAGCAGCTTCCATGTTCCTGGTGTCCTCTTGAAGGACCAGAGGACAGGACCCTAGGCGTCTGCCAGTTTGTGCAGAGGTCTTTGTGGTGGCCTGGAGAAGTGAGATGACAGCCTTCTGCTCCTGATTTTCTGGAGTTATCAGCCTAAGTTATTTTCAGTTGCAAAATTTTCATTGGCTTCACTGTGGGAGGCTTCTGAAATAACTCACCATGCCCATGGAGAAAACAAAGGAACAAGATCTTTTGTGCTTACCATAACACCAAGAAATTGAGATGGTCTCAAAGAAGACAAGAAAAAGAAGACACATGCCACTGGCTGAGTAGTAATCAAAGAGCTTGAAGACATAAATGCCACCCTGAGGAGACAAAACCAGGGCCAAGGAGTTTAGTTATAGAATATGGTCGACAATATCAGCTGGCTGCTTGGATTGCTACTATTTGCGTCTGCTGGCTTTAATATTAATCTCCTTGGTCAGTAGAGCCGGCATTGTGATGTTTCTACTGGAGTCTGGTTCCCAGCAGCAAAGCTGATGTGCTCTTGCAGACAATTAGCCAGCCTCTTCAGGCATGGCCAAGGGTGAGGAGAAAAGCACAGATTCACTAGGATTTCTTACTTCTCTCTGTTTTAGACAGAGTCACTTAATTTAGTCTGCTCTGCCCCTCCCAGGAGTTTTGCTGCCTTGCCTCCTCATGAACCTACAGTGTTCCACAAACAGTGTCCAGACCGCTCAGCCCTAACCTCCACACACGTGAACCTTGGCTTCAGCCCCAGAGGTTCAGGGCCCCAACAGACTGGTCTTCTTTATGTTATCTTAACCCTTTGCACCAAGCGTTCCCTCAGCTTGGGCTCTGTTGGCTTGAGCCCTTATTGCATTAGCAAGAAACCAAGGCAGACTGACAACAGGATGGTGGTAAAACTTATGGAGGCATCCTAAGTCACTTGAGATGTAGCAGTGATGAGCAAGCCCATTTATCCAGCATTAGGATGGCTCCTAGGGATGCTGTCACTTCTCCCAAAGCTTTCAGTGCTGCTGTGCTATGCCAAAGTGACTAGCAAGGTGCCATGAATGGAGATACAAGCATGGCTATCTGTACCTGGGTGATGTTGGAGAATCCGATGAGATAAGAGATGAAACAGACTAGTGCAATGAAGACCTTCTTCCTGGCTCTCAGGAGATGAGGATACTCATCCATCAGGGCTGTAATGAACCCTTCCACGGTGCAGAACTACGGGAAAGGTATACACCAAAGACATATATATAAAGTATCTTAGCCTGACATCATCACCTCCTACATTTAACTCCAATGTTGAGAGCCTCATTGTTTTAAACACTCTCTGCAGACACTAGAAAAGGAGGCACCTCTGCACAAAGTTGGTCCAAACCATCTTCTGAAAATGCCTCTCTCCTTCCACTGAATATAGAGGGAGCTAAAAGCACCAGGGTTAAATACCTAAAATTAGCTGAGATAGATCTCTGCTTTCTGCCTCCCATGGAAAACCTCCTCTTTCCCCCCCCGCCCCAAACTCTCCAGGGTCTCCCTGCCACTGCCCTGCTCCCCCACGCTGCCAGGCTCTCTGTCACAGCAATGCGTCTGTCTGCTGCTGGGACACATGCAGGACCTTGCTTGCTCTTCCTTTCCCATGTGTGCTCTTCTCAGCCTCTTGCAACAGCGCTTGTGCTGTTCAATGATCTAAAACAGTCATTAAGGAGCTGCATTACCCACCGCCCAGTCTCACGTGCATGTGCATAATAACAACGTCTCTGACTACCCAGTCCTTGACTTTATTTCACTTTTCCAAGCACGCTACATTAAGTGCATGTAGCACATTAAAAGCCCATCCTCACAGCACATGGTCTTTCTAGAGCTGAAAACACCTGGATGGCTTGTGCAGTGCTATACCAGGCACAGTATATTAATGCTGTCTGCACCATAACACATAAAGAAGTCCCCATAAGCATTACCTTCAAATCAGTTTTCCTACTAGTTTTGCCCTATGGCATGAAGACAGTTTGACTGTATATATGTGAAGTGCATCCTTCCCTCATATTTCTTGATAAATTGTGAGATTCATTTTTATATCTCACTCCCAGAAACCACGGGTAACATAGAGCTCTCAGAGAGCACATCACGCCTCTAGCAAAAATCCTGGGAATTTTATGAGGGCAGCAAGCTCCTAGCTTTGCTGGTCACCCTCAGTAAATGTACAAGCCAGTGCAATGAAAATGAAAGACGTTTCATTGCTCTTGGATGTCAGGGACCTCCCTGTCCCTGGGAGAGCGCTGTAGAAAGTGCTGGCATTTTTAGATTCAGCTTTGAATAGAGAGATAGGAAGGAAAAAAACCTAGAGTGGAGATGGAGGTAGAGGTACACAGACTAAAAAGAGCAGCAGAGGGCTGGAAAGGCATATGGAAGAAAAGCGGGGAGAAGAAAAATGGGGAGTCTGAGCTGTGCCCATAGCTGGGCAGGGACAATGGAAGAGCTTGCACGCCGCTGGCTGCTGGGGCTGGCTTCCATGTGGGACAGAGCGAGGCAAAGGGCGATGTTTCTGCCCAGGGTTTTATATCTGCACAGTGCAGTGCGGAAAGCCCGTATTCCCACAGCATCAAAGCTCAACTACTTCAACTCGAATTTTTAATAAGCTAAGCCTTTTATGTTGGACACAAGTGCTATTAAAGCATATTTTGCCATTCGGGCATGGGTTAAGCTGCCTTTATACTCTGACAGTGAGCTCTTCACCCCATCCCACCCGGCACGTTGTCTGGAAGAGCCAAGACTGAGCTGGCACCACAGTGCCGGCATGACCAAAAAAACACTGTTGAAAGCTATTCTCTGCCACGTGGATGCATGGCCAGGCGCTGCTGGAGCCATGGGCAGGGCCGGGCAGTCCGGCACCAGGCAAGACAGAGAGAGAAAAGGGTTCAGAGGGGGGCCAGGGGTGGTCAGGGGCAGAGGGTGGATGTGAGGGGTGTCCAGCGGAGAAGAAACGAAGAAAAAGATGCCTCAGATAACAGGAGGGAGCAAAACTGACAGGCCTTTGGTGCAGGAAGAGGGATCATAGTCAGGGAAAGCACAGAGGGAAAGATAGGGAGACGGGTGATGGGGAACAGGGCTACAAAGTGAGTTGAAATCTCTTTGCCTCCTATCAAAAGTAAGCTGGTGTGTAATGGATGAGGTGGGGAACCAAATGATGGTACATTGCTTTTTCTAGCCATAAAACAGGCAATGGCCTTCATATCATTTACTGAAAACTGCCTCATGCTAGCCTCAGGCTTCAGAGGTGATGCAGCCTGGAGGAGGCTCTTTCCGACCCTAGGGACTGCGGCTCCCTGGCTGTCCTGGGGTCCACATGTGCCAGCCTGCAAACTCAACCTTAGATGCTCACACGAGATAAGTAGGCACATGAGTGAAAGCATGCTGCTTTCAGGAGTGATGAGGATCTGGTCATTGTCATGCCTCCTGGTCTCACCCTTGCCCTGTGTGCGCACTTATGTGTGCGGGTGGACACACACGCGCGTGCACCCCCCCCCCACACACACACCCTGCCACATGCACACTTCAGTCTGCTTTCCAAAAAGTTTCATTTTTCTCACCGTCTCCAGCCACAATTTTTAGCACATATTCTGTTCCTCATGCCTCACTCCATGATATTTTTTCTCTCCTAAAGATTTTATTTCCATTCACTTTTCTCTTTTGCTTTTTTTCCCCTTCAGGGGCTTAATCATTACACAAGCTACTGGGTCTGACAGTCTGGGCTTGGGAGTCAATATAGGTGGCACCTCGATCTGAATGAAAGTCTGTCTCCCATCCTCTCCCAGTGCCAGGAGCTTGCTGTCCCCTCCTTGGCCACGCAGAGCACCCTGACCGGGACCCATGGGCCTGCAGGGGGTTCGACCACAGAGGCCAGACGTGCAGCAGAAAGCCGCGAGAGTGTGTCTGACTGCTCGCAGCTGGAATTCCTCATGAATAACCTGTGAGAGGCAGCCTCACATGGGACAGACGCAGGCTTGCAGTCACAAGGCTTGCTAGCTTCCCTGGGGAGAAAACGCCTGACCTGGAAACTGGTAGGTTAAAAGAAAGCATTAGCATCTTATGCAAGAGGGTCTAGACACAAGAGAGCTAAAGCCCGGATGGATCAGAGGCAGAGTGAACACCAAGGCACACGAGCAGCAAGTGGGCGCACAGGAGGGAGGCGTGTGTCTATCAATATAGGTCATTCATCCCCTTCAAGTAACTGCAGACGAGATGAGCACCCTGGTGGAAAGAGGCAGATGTAGCTGCGCTGCATCTGCAGTAGACTCACCATCAAAGCTAATGGACATGGGTGGACCCACTCCCACCATCGTTAAGGGGTTGGGGCTTGTTGCTGCATTGCAAATGCGGATCTCAGCCCTACCTTCCTTTGCTAGCCAGGCTCCCGAGCATCTCTGCTGTGCCTACGGCCCCATGGCCACCTGGTGACAAGGGGCAGCCCCAGCCCAGCAGCCCAAGGGGTGCAGGGTGCAAGAAGTGCCCTCTGGCCCTGCCGTGCCTCATGGACGAGCTGCTGACCCAAATGAAAAATGGCTGCTCCCCATCTGCAAATACCACAAACGATATTTAATCAGCACATAGCAAAACTGTCTCTTCTTTTTTTTTTTTTTTAACTCAACGCTTCAAAATGCATGTGCAATTGCAGCTATTGTTGCAGCCTGTGTTATTTATTTCATACGCATAAGCTGCCATGCTGTTAATGGACAGAAAGCTTCTTCACATGTATTTATTTGTGCTTTTTTAAAAGCTTGTTTTTCTCTTGATGCTTCGTTCCCCGCCCCTTCTCTCCTCGCCCTCCAGGCAATGATAGCCCCCCACGGACTGCCCGCCCTCCGAGACTAACTGTCAGAAGGGACTTGGAGAATTTCAAGTGGTATTTCAGAAGCAAGTGCAGCAAATAAATTCCACACAGTGCTTAGAGGGCTTATTGTCATGTCTTGAACTATTTACCAGCACTGAGTGAACAAGCCATGGACAATAAATTTTTTTTCTGTAAATGTAGCTTCTTTTGGAACATTTAGTCATATTTGAAATTATTTGCCAAATAATGTCTGTGCTAATGCAGACATGAGCTTTATGATGTGTTTGTAGGACTGTGCCATAATTGAAAACCAGATTTGGTTGATTAGGTTTTCCTGGAAACCAAGTGTGACGTTTCAGAATAGATCTGAGACTGATTATGAACTAGACTTGGGTTTATGAACGCTACCTGTAATCCAAGAGAGCATCCATTTTGTACTGGTAGTTTACACTGCAAGGAAAGAGCACGTGGGCACAGGGGAGGATGTGACAGACCAAGCACAGGCTTTTGAAGGAGCCTTTGATTTTGATGCACTCAAAAGGGAGGCACGCTGCAATTCACTGCTTAACTGGGTAGCTACTTTTATGCTGAATTATCACAAAAAAAGTATCACCGCTTGTAAAAACACAGAGACCATGATTTTTTTTTTGTTTTGTGAAGGCTCTGAGGGGGGCAGGGTAGAGACCTTTTGCTACATACAGCTGCTTCCCCTTCAAATATCTTGTAAGACTTCTCTGATGGCAAAGCACTCAGGGCACCCAGGCACCAGTCTTTCCCAAGGCATGGCTCCTTCTTCTGCCAGGATCTACCCCTGCTCACCTACGAACCAGGCCAGGGTGCTTCAGGTCTGCCCAGGGCCAATTTTGTTATCAACAACAATGCCGAAACGCTGCATCAAGCCACCATCCTCACACCACGGGAGAGCCCTAATTCAAACGCTGCTTCGCTGCTTTTCTCAGCACAACCTGTCGATACTGCGCCAGAGCACTGGGTCTGGCTGGAGACTGGTACCTTGTGCAGAGATGCTCCTCCAAGCTCCTGGAAGTAGAGAAGATGGAGACTTTCTACCCTAACCTATGAAAGTAAGCCAAAGTAATGACATTTTCTTGCCTCACAGGAAATGCATTTTGGTCAAGGTGACACAGTAAGGAAATCCAAAGCATCCAAACTGAGCTTCTCACAAAAAACCAAGAGAGCTGCGATGACCACAAACTATTATCATGCAGACACGAAATGAAGCAGTTAATACTGATTTCTCTTATTTCACATACCTATTTTGGGGGTGGGGGGAATCATGTTTTACAAGAACAAAGCAGTTATTACTTGAAAGAAATCTTTTTCCTTTTTCCCTTGCCCCAAAGTATTTTGGCAGGGATAGTTTCCTGCTAGCTCTACTCAGAGCCTGTGAGCTCAGCTGCCAGGGTCGCCCAACAAGATGGGGACATGCTGTGCCCATGCAGCAGCACCGGCACTTCACTAGGGCCAAAAATTGATCTGAACGGAGAAAAGCTTTCCAAAGATCCTCTCCTCCTACAGGGAAGTGGTGATTGTCTTGTAAGGCTGACTGGTTCTGCTGGGCTGCTGGAAGCTGGTCATTACTCTTATTTTTAATTGGCAGCAGGACAAGGACTGGTGCATTGGGTAGTGGTCAGATACCACCACACTTGCAGTATATGCCTATGTTAGGGAAGAGCGCAGAGGTGATGACCACACGGGAGGTTTTGTTTCATGCAGCTGCATCTCACCATGAAGAGTAAGAAAAAACCCTGCTCAGCACTGTCCCAAGGTGCAAAAGGGGACACCGCCATCGTATCTAAATATATCTTCATATCTTACCCCACTTTGTCCCTGGGTTGTCTCACCTGACTATCCAGACCCAACATCATCAGCATGGAGAAGAAGAGGATCGACCAGAGCGGGGACAGGGGCAGCTCTGTGACAACCTGCGGGTAGGCGAGGAAAGCCAGTCCAGGGCCTGCGGTAATGAAAAGAGGGATGAGCCCATGTTTATAAAGCATTTGATGGGAAGTCCGAGCTAAGGGCCACAGTTGAACAGAGAGACAACGATCACAGTCAAGAATTGCAGGTATTTAGTATAAGAGCTAGAAAAACCTGCGCCCTCGCCCATGACACTCCAACCTGGTGAGGTGCACAGGGGTAGGATGGGGAGGCAGGAATGACTGGAGAAATGCTTTGCCTTTTCTCTTCCTGCAAGCAAGAAAGTCATCAAATTACTGCTACCAAATGGAGCTGGAGCACTTTGCTAGAAAAATAAACTGATATTCAGAGCTGGTTATAGCTTTCCTTATGTTTTTTTTTCCCCATCACAAAATTCTGTTTCTTGAGATAAAAGCTTTCTCTGGGAAGACAGCAATTTCAAAATATGTCTTTGTGCAAAAAGACACAGTCCCATCTTGGTTAAAAAATTATTCTGAGATTACAATTCCAAAATTTTGCATGGAAAAGGGACTCCAAATTTTGATCATGCATCTATTCTCCAAAGGAAGGTTTCAGAAAGCAAATGGCCTAAATATTTCACTGCAGCAAAAGCACATAAAACTTCAGCACTAAAATAAGGTGAGCATTGAAAGAAGGTGGAGATGCCCCTTGCAGCCAGAGTGTGATAAATATCGGCCACAGGTGCCTGAGACCCATCTTGGTGGGAGGGTGTGCAAAAAGGGTTGCACACTTGGGTCCCGGTCAGGAAAGGCCTGGGATCATCCCATGCTCACTGACAAATTGCTCTCAAAGGTTGCTGTTGCATTTGAACCTGGGTTTCTGCTTACCTGAGGAGGCCAGCTCTGAGATCGACTTCTTCGTGATGTGCGACATGAAGCCAACAATAGAGAAAATAACAAATCCGGCAAATATGCTTGTGGTGGAGTTTATACAGCAGACAATAATGGAGTCTCTGGAAGAGAGAAAGAAAGAAAAGAAACCACCTGCAGGTCCCTACCAAGAGGACAGGAGTGAAGGGTGGGATAAACAAAAGCCCAAGCCCTGCTGAGAGCAGTTCCTGTGCCTTGGAGAGGTAGCGTGGGTGACTCGTTAAGTGTGCTGCAGGCGGGGGAGCCCCGCTATGACGATCACAGCATGCCCCCTAGGCTGCATGTTGCCAGCAAGGGGACATCGGAGATCAGGCTCAGATCGGAGATCAGGAGATCCAGACTCACCGTGACCCCCTCCCTCACCCGTGAGCACTCCCCGCCATGCAGGAGGCTGGAAAAAACCCAACAGACCTGTAGACATTGTTGTGGAAAGTGTTGTAGCTCCCCAGTGCGATCAGGGACCCCAGCCCCAGCCCGTAAGAGAAGAAGATCTGTGTGGCTGCGTCCATCCAGACCTGTGGAGAAGCAGCTGGTTTTGAGTCTGTCTTCCTCTGCACTGCCAGCTCAGCGGGTCCAGCTCTCTGAGCATGGCCGCCCTCCCTCCTTTGAGCAATAGCTCAGCACGGAGGGGATGGATAAGACACCCGGACACGTCAGTGTTTATCCTGTCTATCAGAGAGGGTGTGGGAGCTGCTGGGGCCCAAAGCTTGGTGTCTTTGCTTTGCCAGGTAAGGCTGTCACACCCTGGAGACAAACACCAACCTCTGGACAACGTTGCCCATCGCTCCCTCCAGCTTTTGCAAACCTGCTGCCCAGGTTGCACTGGGAGAGGAGTGCAGCAGGAGGGACTCCATGCTGCTGAGCTGCTGCAGGAGACGTGTCTGCAGCAGGAGGGACTCCATGCTGCAGGCGTGTCTCCTGCAGCAGCTCAGCACAGGGCTAGTGAGGGGGCTGGATGCAGACCGTGGGGCTGTGGGCTTGGCCACCCAGTCCACTGGGGCGGTCAGGACCTGTGGACACCCTGTCACTAGGGCCACAGGCACCTGCGATGCTGACTGCTGACCCAAGCTCCAAGGAAATGTTTGGGCCAGCGGCTGGAAATGTCACAGGAGCCACCTTGAAACCTGTAGCCATGTTACTGCCAACCGGGCTGAACACATCTGAAGAACAGAGTTTTCCGTGCCTTTCTGAACACGTATCTCCAGGGCGAGCTAGGGCTCAGAGATGGTGGTACAGGTGAAGAGAAGAGTAACAGAGACAGCTGGTGCAGCCCCATTTCACCTGCGGGGTGGTGATGCTGTGCATTTGTTTTGCACAGACAATGGCCGGAGCACGCTGCCTCCTGGAGCCACCGCGTGTCTCACAGCTCTGTGGGGTCAGCAGGGCCTCTGCACCTCGCCCCATGGGAACGGGGCTGCCAGGGGACTTTAACACAGGGCACTGAGGCAGGGATGTGGCATTTGCCTCTCCTGCTTGCAGTGTCAGGAGGGAGCCTGCTAGAGAGCAATGCTTCCCCAAAGAGGAGGAGGAGCAGGGGATCTGCGTCTTCCTCAAGTGGCAAGTGCATCAAGAGTGCAGCCTGGCCCAGAACCAGCCATACATCCCGAGCCCTCTAAAACCCATGGCTCAAGGCTGCTTCCAGGGATGGGTGGGGATGGAGGAAGGGTCGTGCATCCCGTTTTCTGAACCGTGTCCCTCAGGCCCCGGTGCAGGCTGGAAAGGACTCGCACACCATCTGAATTTGTGTGTGGGTCCGCTTGCTTTCTCACAGCTGCACCCTGAGGGGTGCTGCTCCCCTCGGAGACCCACGTCCCGTACTCACCCCCTCCGTTGCTCTTCCGCTAGCATGTCTTTGATTTTCCAACATGGAGTTTCTTGTGCAAACTGCAGAGGACAGCTTGCAAAACTGGTCCTGGTGCCTTAAGGGTTTAAACCCTAGAAGGCACATGAAAAGGGGCAGACTATTTGTTTCTTAATTGCATAGTATTTAAACAACTCTTCTGATCTTGAGAGCCCTGTTTCCAGTGTTAGAGCCAATGCAGCTGGCAGTACAGTACAGTTACAGTGAGTTTCCTGCAAGAGGGATCATTTGCACCCCTCAGGAAATGATGGGTGTCCAGTTGTCCCCACTCACACATGACTGGTGACCTCTGGAGCCACAGGAGCATCGCTGCTGCAAAAGGCAGAGTCTGTGTTGCCTGAAAAACTTTGCCTTTGCAAGCCTCCATGCTTCTCCTGGGTCCCCCCTATACTTCCCTGGACCAAAGCAATGTTACTGGCCACCAGATGTCATTTAAGCACTCCCAAAAATTGCTGCCATGTGTACTGTTGTGCTTCTGAGTCCCCCATGCCAGTGCCACCACATTCTCCTTTCTCTGGGACCGCCAGATCAAGGCCAAACCGCCAGCCCTGGGATAGTTAGTGAAATGAGGCATTCCCAGCCCGTATGGGAGGTTCCTTCATTGGGATAATTTCTCAAACCCCCGCCCCATGGATAACACTGCTTGAGTACAGCAGAGCTGCTGCATGGATTTCCACCCACAAAGGACCTGCCCTTCAGCTTGGTCTCAGCCTGTGAGGGTCATGACTGCTTGAACTGAGAACTACTCCATTTTATTTTTAATACTTAAAATATTCTAGGGAAGTGCCCAAGGAAGACTAATGCGGAGACAACCGGGAGGTAAGAGCTTTCCTCACTAGGCTACAAACCTCGGAGTCGGAGAGCTTTCTGAAGTCAGGCGTGAGGTAGAAGAGGATCCCCTCCTTGGCTCCCGGCAGCGTGACTCCCCGGAAGAAGAGGATGAAGAGCATGAAGTAGGGGTAGGTGGCCGAGAAATACACCACCTGTGAAAGACACCATGGGAGAGAAGCCCTCAGCCCGCCAGTGCCCAGGAGCTTTCCTGCCCGCAGTGGCATTGGGTCCAGCGTGTGTCCCTGGGTCCCTGGGGGGGGGGGGGGGGGGGGGGGGGGGGGGGGGGGGGGGGGGGGGGGGGGGGGGGGGGGGGGGGGGGGGGGGGGGGGGGGGGGGGGGGGGGGGGGGGGGGGGGGGGGGGGGGGGGGGGGGGGGGGGGGGGGGGGGGGGGGGGGGGGGGGGGGGGGGGGGGGGGGGGGGGGGGGGGGGGGGGGGGGGGGGGGGGGGGGGGGGGGGGGGGGGGGGGGGGGGGGGGGGGGGGGGGGGGGGGGGGGGGGGGGGGGGGGGGGGGGGGGGGGGGGGGGGGGGGGGGGGGGGGGGGGGGCGGGCTCCTGGTGCACTGCTGCTTTTGGCAGCATTTCCTTGTGTTTTCTGTCTCCTGTTCCCGTGCTAGTAATGTTTCTGCCTGTTTGAGGTTTCTCTCTGCCAATGACACGCAAGGACGCTCTAATCACAAAAGTAGCATGCTAAAGTCGGGATGAATTGCCCAAAGACAAGGGAATTGCACAGGGATAAATTCAGTCCACGGAAGTAATCTCTTTAAGTCATCACATCCTTATTTTGCAGAGCTAAAGCTGGTGTTTCTCTAGTCCAACACATCAAGCAACGTGAGTCGTCTTGACTCCACCACTTGCTTTTCAACACTGTTTCAGGGACTGGCAGGTACATGCCATCCCTCATCACAGGGCCCGTACTGGCAATCACCGGGGCTTTGCTGCTGCTGCGTAGCTAAAACGTGTTTGAGAGCCACCAGGGAAGTTAACAGCTTAGGTGACCTACACCTGAAGCGCTTCTTTCTGATCTCTCCTCTAGATTATTCCTTTCATAATATTGTCCCGCTACACCACACTGTGCTCTAAATAACACATCTCAGTATCTCAGCATCACTATTTCACTAAACTAAGCAATTACCTTTCTGCTGTGCTAGCCTGAAATGCTACACAGTGAATAATAACGTGCTTCTGATCTGAAGGTCTCCCACCAATCGCTAAAGGGCAGCAAGAAAATTTTCAAAGGAGGTGGTGAGGTTTTTTTTCCACCGGCAGCATTTTAAGACACCATGATTTTCAAAAGGAGGAGCCCAGAAGAGGCCTCGCTCTCTCAAAGGGCTGTCCTGAGGTGGGAAATGTAAGTAATCTCTGAAAATCTCTTCCCAAGTCCTCCAGAGATACTGAGCACTCAGACCCATGACTTTACAGGGAAGAGTTATTCTCTACGCTTAGGATCAAAATTACCATAAATACGGTAGCAGTTTTTACAACCATGAAAGGTAAATGTGAGAAATTTAATAGCGTCTACCGCGATTCTGCCTTGAAACATCATAACCTTAGTTATAGGCACTCAAACAAAATTGAGTCCAGAGGACATTTCGACACCTGAGACCCAAGCGTGGCAATGAGAGACAGCACCGAAACACCTGGTCCTCGCGCCATACCTTGCCTGTCCACTCCACGCCCTTCCAGATGGAGAAGTAGACCAGCAGCCAGGCCAGGGCCAGTGTGCCAGCCAGGGGCCAGCGGACAGTGCCGGGCTCCTCCAGGCCCCCAGACATCTGGTGCATGTTCCTCCTAGGGGTGGGAGAGGTTGCGTTAAGGGGAAATCCGACCCTTGGGGGCAGAGGGACCGGAGATCCCGGAGGTGGCTGGAGGGCGAAGGGCCAGGTGCAGACAAGCATGAGTGCCCGCAAAACCCTAAAGGGACCTCAGGTTCATCGTGATGGGATAAAGGAAGGAGAAGAGAGGCGGAGAGGCTGTTATCCCCTCTATCCATCTGACCTGTGGCTGCACAGCGCACACCATGCCCATGCCCACCCCAGCGGATGGCCGGCTCTGACCCCCCTCCTGCCAAGGCTGTCCAAGGAAAGGTGCCAGCAGGCATGGCCGCAACCCTGGCGAGCAGGCATGACGGCCGTGGCGAGGGGGAGAAACCTGGTGTAGGCAGGTTGTGGACGTACTCCCAGAACTCGGTGACGGCGCTGCTGAGATTGGTGGTGTCACCCAGGGAGTAGTTGGAGAAGCAGTGGTCCGTGTTCCAGGCGTTCCCGCAGCTCTGCCACGGCAGGTCCTGCGTCAGCACAAGGGCAACAGGGTTATCATTAATGTCCCCTCTCCGAAGAGCAGTGGCGAGAAGCAAAGTTTGTCTTCTTTTAAACTGAAACCCCTTTTTGTTTTTGCAAAGAGGATGGGCAGCTCCTCTGGATGGGCAGGAACCTTGCAGCCAAAAGCATGAAATGATTTTCCAAAATAATGATAATCTGGGACATGGATTTTCCAGGAAACAATATCACGACGTGATTAGGGCAATGCTGTAGCTCTAATAAAACGTTAGCAATTCCCCAGATGGAAAGCCATTTCCAATTAACTGTTGGTAATTAATAGCTACTAATTAAAATAGCTACCGGGGGATATTGTGTTTATAATCATTACAACTTTTGGCTAGCTTCACTCAACAAGTGGTTGGAATTTACCACACAAAGAATAAACACTGATTTGTTTCTTATCTATCTCATTAATACCAAGCTTCAACACTTAAAAAGCAACGTGGCATTGAGAATGGGGGCTAATGGTTTGTCTACACGAATAAACTACTGTAACATAAGCCCAGGAGTAAATTTAAAGCACAGTAGCTATTTCATGCTGTCCCCTGCCCTGTTTATAAGCAGCACAAAGGGATTCCTGGGAGATGTTTACACCGTAGGTAGCAGTGTGACAGCAGCACACCGCTCCAGATTTAATACAATCGGCTCTGGTGCTGCAAGCGATGAAACCTCAGCGTCAGGGGCTGTGAGAGCATGCAGGGCAACTCGCCCATGCTGTGTAGTCCCATGGCCGAGGCAGCCCAACAAAAGCAGCTCAGACATGTCTCCATGGGCAGCAATCTCATTTCCCGAGTGCAGTGCATGTAGATAAATGCAGAACGGCTATTCTGGATGATTTCCCTCTGCAGATAAGACCTCAGGCTCCAGCTCAACAAAGCTTTAAGAAGATGTTTGTATCCATTCCTATTCATCCACGAACACAGACCCCTTTAGAAATATTATCTGTGTTTTAAGTGCTTTGTGGCATCAGTGCCTTTAAGTGCTGCCTTCACCCCCCATCTGAATCAGTTCACTCCAGCAGATGATACCTCCAAACGTGCACACTGGCTTGGCAGAAGGGCTATGAAGGGGCAGGTAGGGACACCCCAGTGGCCACCCAGGCTGTTTGCACCCACCCAGTGATCTCATTGTGGACTTGCTAATTGCACTGAAGGAAATGCAATGGCTCAAGTAGCACCACACAGCAACCCTTCAACCAAGCGGTTTGCACAGCAGAGATGCTGTGCAGCTCTTATAAGGAGGGGCAGGCAGGGGGACGGTTTGTCGCTGCTCCATCTCCTCTGAATTTCAGAGGACAGAAACTGCAGAAGGCAAGCTGGGTTCCCGTTCAGGGTCAAAATACTCCTAGTCAAATTTAGGAGGAACAGGGGACAGGCATCAGCCTAGCTTTTTTATTTGTACCTTGGCTCCTTTGGGGAATCTGGAATTATCTCTGATAAAAGAAAAGGCCTTGAGCCGAACACCTGGAGCTGCCTGTGTAGATACAAGCACTGTCACCAGTCGGGTCTGTGACACCCAGCTGTGCCAAAGCCTCATCCTAAGATGCATCCTGCCCAGGGCGGAATGGGGATGGGTTCCTTTGTGGTAGACTTTTGTTCATTTGGGAATCCCCCAAGGGTGCACCTAATCATCCACAGCTGACAATTTTATTCTGGATCCAGGAGTCTACAGTGGGTATTGGTGGTAGAAACACAGCTGGGAATGCCAAACAGAATATTTTAGCAAAAGTCTTGATAGATACTTGAATTTTTTGATCTAACAAAAAGTGAAACTGGACGCACAATGTTCATAACAGCATTTCAGGGTTATACCTAAATGAAAAAAGATCCCATTTGAACCACGGAGTTGATGTATTTAAGGCTGCAGTTGCTCAGGGAGTTAAGTTAAGGGAGCTTTTCCCAGCTGCTGGGCTGAAACAAATCATTCAACTACCAAGAAGTTAATGTGGGGAGTGATTCTGACCTTGTACAGCGGAAGACCCTGCTATGGAAGGGGAACCCACTATAAACCACAACGCCAAAGTACATGCTAAGGGACAGTCACAAGCAGATGTCTAAATGCTTTCTGAATCATTTTCCCAGCAGAAAAAATCCCCGGGATTTCATTTATCAAGAGAAGCATAAATGAGGACTAATTAAGGTCAGGACTAAGTCCTGGGTAATAAGAACATGCTGTGATAAAACCAGTTGTGGAAATGTGCAGCTCTTAGATTCACACAGCTCTAGAAATACGACAGAGACACAGAGTGGGTTTTAAAGACTGATGTAATTGGCAACAGTTCCCAGAGAGGGAACGGGACCATCCCCTCCAGAGGACCACCCTCTCTAGAGGACAAGCATCAGTACCCATCAGCACTACACGACGGCCTCCAGGGCTGATGAACCTCTTTGGGAAGGGTCCAGCAGGGTGCTGACGAAGGCTCTTTGCACAAACTACAAGCAGTTAGTTTGTTTTGTGGCATAAACAACCTCTCCCCATAAAGCAGGAAGTAAGGACCCATAGCGCAGACAATGCCATGCTGTAGACATGTCTGTGACTCACCGCGGTTAAAGAGTTGAAGAGATAGTAGAGAGCCCAGGCAATGATGACAATGTAGTAGATGTTCAGCCAGAAGGAGAGAACTACAGCTGCCAGCCCCACTCCTGCGAACGAAGGCGGAGAGCAGCATCAATCCAGGTCTCCGGTGCCCAACTGCGCTCACGGACATCACAACAAGTTTTGTGGCAGAGCCAGAAAGAGCGAAGCAGCTCATCAACACAGCACCTGATACAGCTACACTGAACTGGTCAGCAAGAGAGGCTTGTTCCCTCACATCTCTCACCCACCCATTTCCACTGGGTGAACAGTGCTACCTCTCAGTATGCTACAGGTACTTTAGGGACAGAGCTGCATGAAAACAGGATCTGGTCACTTCCCCAGCAGAATTGCTCTTTCCCACATCCAAGGCATTTCTAAATCACCACTGGTTTCCAGAATGCTGCTACTCCAGACACAGTGACAGGTTCACGTCCCCTATCTACAGCTTCCCCATGCAATTAAAGTGAGCCCATGTGGGGAGGCTTGGGACAGGTCTTCTGCAACCAGAGTCCCTCCACTGCAGTCCCTGCTGCTCATAAAGTGCCTTGTCACACGCAAGACTGCTTGAACAGAGCACAGTGATGTTAGTAACTGTGGACATCAGGGTCTAGGACAGCTTGATAAAGACAGAGGGAAAAAACTCCCCCCACCTGCCACCCCATCCCAGTCCCCAGGGATTTGCTGATTTCCTTCCCAAACCATTAAAGGGTTTTTGTCTGTAGTTATGTGCCATCGCCTTCACAAACTTACAGTACAGTACCTTTAAACATGGGTGCTAATTTCCAGACTCCCAGTCCACCGACAGAGGTATACTGGCCCAGAGCAGTTTCCAGCAGGAAGAGAGGAATTCCAGCAAACACCAGTGTCAGAAAATAGGGGATGAGGAAGGCCCCTGAAAGAAGGAGCAATGTTATCAGACGGCTCCCCCTTTTACCAAGAAGTAAATGCCTCCAGCTGTGGTTTCTCGCTCCGCAGCACCCACGTGATGAGAAGCAGACTTGCTCGGAGGCGACAGTTTGCAACTGGAGTTGGCGTGTTTAGTAGGTCTCCCACTGAGATCACCACTGCCTTCCCCTTCTCTGTTCCTATCACTATGGATATATAAGTATCATATAAACGTATATACTGGCATCACTAGCTATGTGATGCCAGTCTCAGTTGTTAGATATTTAGGCAATGTTAAGCCCAACCTGTCGAATGAACCCAAAAGCCTGGACACTGACACTGGTAACTAGTTCTTGTTGATACTTCCTGTCTTACCTGCAGCAGCTCCCAATTCTTCACCTTGAGCAAAAAGGGCACAGGAATTTCTGGTATGGGCCACTACTTCTTTGTTTATAGCTGTTTCAGTCTTTTAAGGAAACTGTGGCTAAGACGGTATTTGCTCTTGTAACAGCCCTATACATCTCCCCACCCTTGCTCTAGGTTTTACCCTTAAAATTCCTGGTGAAAAAATTATTCCTCTCTATGGACCCTGTGGAAATCACCTCATCACTAGAAATGAGGTAATGCAGCCATTCAGTAGAGTATTACTTGCACCCCGTTATTAGAAGAGCAAACACAATAGGAGAGCCTCTCCATGTGATTTGAAAGCTGTACATGTTCAGGTCATCCTGACTTCTAGGACTTGGGACGACAAAGCTCATTTTCCAGCTTCCTCGTGCATGTGCTGGAGCATGCCATCATCCCCGAGGAGGACAAACTCCGGCAGAAGAATGATGGTTGGGGAGAGAGAGAGGACACTCAGTTTGCTCAGAAGCAGCTGGCCGTGTCCGGGACAGCAATGGTTTCTGCACTAGCCGGAGGGCTGAGCTGTCAGTCTGAGTTGTCTTCTCCAGATATTACTAGGAAAGCAAACACAGAGCCAGAGAGTAAAGCCACTCTGGAGAGCTGCAGCCCAGCTTGCACCCGGCAGTGCCAGGCTCCAGCAGCTGCTCTCCGAGGGCAGGGAAGCAGCGAGGCACAGCTAGGGATGCCTAGGCTCAGGGGGCACCCAGCTGGGGACGTCTGCCTGCCAAGCGGGGAGCTGTGTCCAGCTGGGAGAGGCAGGCACCAGCACCCAGCGTGGGAGTCCGCAGGAGGCAGCGTGCAAGAGGAGCTGGCAGTGGGTGGTGGGGAGAAAACACGCTGAGGGCAAGCAGCTCAATGACCGTGAGCCTGAATCGCAAGCTGGCATGGAAGCGCAGGCTCTCAGCTTCATCAGCAGCCTGGCGTGGATGAGCAAACAGCTTTGAGCGTTGCTGCGGGAGGAGCGCTGCCCGCTCAGCATCGTCCCCTGCACTCTCGCTAGCCACCGCAGCCTGCAAGGCTGGGACAGGTCCAGCCCCCCAGGAGCCCTGCGGGAAGCCAGGGCCCGCGCTGAGGACACGGATGCTGCCTTGCTACCATTGTGCCTCATTGTAGAGTTTGGAGACTGAGCTTATCGGCAGTCACAGTGCCTGGCTTGCTTCTGTGCAAGCAGCTAATGAAATTTGGCCACAGCCCTGACAATCCTGCATTTTTCATCTACAGAAGGCCAGGAAGGTTTGTAGGTGAAAGATTTTATTAGGCTATTGAGAAAAAAAACAGACAAACATTTGGACCCAGGTCATTTATCCTGGCTTGACAAAAATCTTCCAGAATAGGGGAAAAGCTACAAACCAGACCGCAGCCTGTTGGCAATGACACTGCCACTCTGGAGGGTCAGGTCTGTGAGCAGGCACAGATAACACCCCCGGGTGCTGTACAGCCCCAGGTGAAATCAGTTTGGAAATTTGTACCTAAAATTTGCATGCCTGTGCCTAAATCCTTGGCACAGAGAGAAAGGGGTAATCTTTAATCTCTGGCTCTGGATGGGCTGCTGAAAGGCCTGGTTCAGTTCCTGGGCCTGCTACAAATAATTGTGTATGACCTTGGGAGAGTCCAAACCTGTCTCCAAAGTCCATGGGTCAAAGGGGTGACGGCGCTGGTCCTGCCCCGCCTGCTCAGGGCACCAGCCCTTGGAGGCAGGGAAGGATCACACAGCGGCTGGCGCGC